ACACAGCCTTGTAAATCAACTATACTCCAATTTTAAAAAAAATGACACCAAAAGAAAAAGAGAAGCCCCAGGCTCAGTCATGAGATTAGGAGACAGGTTCTGAGCTGCACCACTCCCTGGGGGCAGAGGGTGTGCGATCCACCCCTGAGCGGAGGCAGAGGTGACCCTGGGTTGGGGCTCATCCCGTGACCCCTCCCCTTTCTCCTTCATATGCATAGTGGGGGGTCGGGGGAAGAGAGAAGGAGGCCGGTTGAATCTTGTGGGACCTTGTGAGTTCCCATCTGTGATGGCAGGGTAGGGCGGAAATAAGAAAACTTTGCTGATCCATCATGGGCCATGGAGACCTGGAAGTTTCTCTCCTGGGTGCTCTGTGGAGTTGAAGGGTGAGCTGAGACCCCACACACTGACTTGAACCCTAAAAAAATACCCTTTATAAGAGCAGCATCCGTGCCTGGCCCAGGAAGCTTGGGGAAGCTGAGGGTGGGCCCTGCCACTGGGGCAGGGACAGAGCCCCCTGTCTTGTCATCACTTTCTTGCCCGGGGAGTGATTATCAGCTCCTAAACCTCAAGAATGTGGAGGGCAGATACCCAGAGGAGGTGGTGAGTGTAAGTGAGGATGCAGGAAAGGTGAGTCTTCAACCAGCGGGTGGTGTGTGGGCACAGACGGGGTGTGGGTTCGGAAGATGACAGCTGGGTGTGTGGGGATGGAGGGTCTGGGGTGGAGGAAAAGCTGGGAATGATGCTTGGGAAAACCATGGGGTCCGGAGACCTGGGACCATGTGCTTCAGACTGAAGAGTTCGGACTTGATCCTTGCAAACTGTTCTCTGTAGAACACCTATAGAGGCGGTCTAGAATAATGGCGCCCCACAGGTTGGAAAGGCGCGTCCTCATTTACTCTATCAAGCAGTCATATTTTCATATCTTGTTTTTAATACTCTTAGCTTCTAAATGTATAAGGCGGAGGTGTGGAGATCAAATTCCAAAAGGATACAGGAGTAACCTGACTTGGTATAGTTTATTCTTTTCCAATGAAACAACTCCCATGAATGAACTGGATAAAAAAAGTAATATGAAAATTTTATGAAAATGCAATAAAAACATTTTAGCAAATGTACATGTGCAGTCCTTTGTAGGACCTTGTTTTGATTTTGAAGCACAGAGAATATATATTATATATATATATATATTTATAAATAACTGTTTAATCAAAGTATCACATGTTCATTGTAGAAAAAAAAGAGAAGATACAGTTTAGTGAAAAGGAAAAAATTTTAAATCTCCATTGCCTTTTGCTCAGACACAATAATTGCCGTTTCAATGCATATCTCTTGAAAATTCTTTCCATGGGTATATTTGTATTTCTTTGAAGAATATAATTATACTGCCATAATGTTTTCAAAACTTTTAATCTATTTTGAACATTTTTCATATCAGTAACTACATTCAGCAGTGTAATTTTAGTCTCTAAATATCACAAGGATGTTCCTAAATGTACAGCAACTTAACTAGTTCTCTTGTTTTGTGGGACATTTAGGGTGTTTCCAATGTTTGGCTATTATAAACAACACTACAAAGAACATCCTTGAAAATAAATCATTGCGCACTTCCTCCATGATTTCCTAAGGATAAATTTCTAGAAGTGGAATTTTTAGTTCAGACTATACACACAGTTTTTCAAAGGCATCTGACAAGTACTGCCGAATTGCCGATTGGGAAGGTCGTAGGAATTTACACTCATGCCAGCAGGACCATTTGACCAATCCGAAGCAAGAATTTAGTGCTCATAGTGCAGAGCAAAGAGAAATTGGCCTCTGGGCTCTTGCACGAGAGTCCCTTTAACGTTTTCTCCATGAAAGCAGAGTTCTGACCTCATGGCAGAGAGCCATCCAAACTTCAATGACTTGGATGGAGCTAACATTCAGTTTTCACAGGCTAACAAAATGTTTCCATGTGGTTGGATTACAAAGGCAAAGGCGTACCTTTCTGTCAACGCTGCCATTTGAGTTTTTGTAGATATTCTGTGCTTTCTAGCAGAACCAGAGACCTTAGTTAGGCATGGGTCCTGTGACCACTGATTCTGCATGGAGGTACTCACCTAGGCCAGCACTTCCACTGGCTTCGTGTGGACATGGGTCAGCTGAGAATCCTATGAAAATACAGACTCAGATTCAGGAGGCCTGCATGGCACCTGGGTGTTCTGCATTTCTAGTTAGGTCCCATGGAATGCAGAGGCTTCCAGGTCCCATGATCACACTCTTAAAGGAGTGAAACCTGGGAGTAGATGGTCTGAACCACATTAGAATTACCTGGACAGCTTATAACAACTGATACCCAGGTTACCCTCCAGCAGATTTCATTCAGCATCTCTGTGAGTGAGAGCAGGCATCTGTAGTTTTTTGTTTTTTTCAATCTTCCCATGACTCTCATGTGGAGCCCAGGCTATGGACCAATGCAGATTCCTTCACATGTGGGTGGGGAGGGGGAAGCAGGGGTCTTCACTGATAAGTAAATTGGGTATATTCATGGGGAAGGGGTGCGCAAGAGCTGCTTAAATGATGAACTGTACCTCCATGGATGGACATCCTGAAAATACAGTACTGAACGCCAAAAGCAAATTAGGTGCTGTTTATATTGACTTGAAAGGCGTACAACAGTATGTATAGTGGATACAGCAAGAGTATTCAGATATATACAGGGGTGATGCATGTAACATTTCAGGATACTGGTTCCTCCTGGGTAGCCGGGAGGGCAGTGGGCTCGGATGAATTCTGTTGGAGTCAAAATGATTCCTTTCTACTAAGAAAGATGTGAAACCGTAGGGAAGAAACAAAAGAAGGGAGGGAGGGGGAGACAGAAGCAGAGTGAGAAAGAAAAGGAAAGGAGGGAAGGCGGAAGGGAGGAAGGAGAATTCTGGCAGCACGTGGCTGTCTGGCTGTGTCTCGCCATTACTCTGTTCTTTCTGGAATACAGACTGTATTCCAACAGCACATCGGATGCCCTTGCTCGAGCCGCCTAAAGCGTTAGTAAGAGCAAACAGGATTCCAGAACCATTAAGCTCGAAAGCGATAGAAGGGTGGTCTATTCCCACAGCAGATGTTTCCACTTGTGATGATCTGAGCCTCGTGGCATGCCTGCCCTCTCGCAGCCTGTCCAGAGACCCCCTGCCCCACCCAGGTTTTCATTCCACATGGGAAACAGACGCAGAGGACAGAAGCGATCTCCGGGGGTCACTGCCTTGAGAGTCCCGGGGGATAGAAGAACTCTGGCCCCTTGCTCTTGGTCCCGGTGTCTCCTGGTGCTCAGGGGCCCCAGGGAGGAGCCCCATCTGCCAGCCAGGCATCCTGGGTACCCTCCACCCAGGCTGTTTGCGTGGGGTGGTCTCAGCTTGTGTTTCCGTTGAGGGGGTCCCCTGCCCCTTCTCCCCAGGGCCCTGCCTCCTGGTCCTACGGGGGTCGCCTTCCGTACTTGGCAGCCGAGCGTGACGCCGCCGCCTGCTTCCTGCTGGTGTTTGTGCCACGGTTGTGGAATGCGAACGCCCCCAGCCAGCTTGCCTCCTGCAGGTGTGAGTGAGTTGCCAGGCCAGCTTCTCTGCAGGAAAAGCGTGTAACTGATGCCTCTCGCCTAGAAACACTCGCTCCTGGGAGGTGCTAGGGTTCAGGCTGACCTACATGTCACTTCCAGTTCTGTGGTCAATATTTTCCAGTATTTCATACAAATATTGTATGGGATTTTTTTTATTAGTATGTAATTAGCATCTTCCTGATATTTGTTGCTCTTTTTTTTCATATAAAGATACCAGTATTTTTTGAAGGAAATTTTTCATTGATTCTTACTCATTTTTTTCTCATTGTTTCTTAAATTTTATTTTTTTTTTTTAATTTTATTTACTTTGTGGCTGTGCCATGCAGCATGTGAGATCTTAGTTGCCCGATGAGGTATCAAACCCAGGTCCCCTGCACCAGAAGCGGAGGGTCTTAACCACTTGACTGCCAGGGAAGTCCCTCCCATTTTTTTTTTTTTAATTGAAGTTTGGTTGATTTTCAGTGTTAGGTTAGTTTCAGTGTAGAGCAAAGTGATTCAGATATTCTTTATTCAGATGAATAAATGAATAAGTAAAATAAAAAGAAACGACTAAGAAGAAAACCATATCCCTCCAGGAAATGTCAGGTTAATTGAGCAGCAAAGAAGCAAGTGGTGTGATGAATCCTAAACTTTCAGGATAATTCCCTTTAAACTTTTTCAGTGTCTGGTCTTAGCATTGAAATCAGTGTTGTTTTTGATTGACCAGCATCCATTCCATCCCTTTGTAGCAACTCCTTGATGTTTCCTGGAGCCTCCTCTCTCTGTTGTCAGTTCATGTGGCTCCGTCTGGCTTAACCTTCGGTTTCCTGGGTGGATGTGTAATCCAGACCCGATGTATCGGCACAGCCCACCTCCTGACCACAGTGATTGGTTCAGGAATGGCCTTGTGATTCAAGTGGGTCCAGTGATTCTCAACCCTAAGCATTCTAGTGAACTGTGGAGAAGAGGCTCAGAACCTCTTTACGGAAGTTGTTTAGCTCTGTAGGATGGAAAACTCAAACCAGCAGGGCCCAACATACCAAAGGAACCAGTCAGAGAATGAAGCCAGTACGGAGGAAAGAGAGGCAAACCCTGGAGAGACTTGAGTCCTCTTGACAGTGTTTGTGCTCCTGGACCAAATCGTGCCTGATGCTAGTATATCCCCTGGACTTCTCAGTTATGTGAATCAATAAATACCCTTCTTTTCTTAAACAAAAACAAAAAAACTTACTTTAAAGACAGTAGTCTCCGAGTATAAGTCAGTTGCTCTTCCTTGGACGTTCTTGGACTGGTCCCTGAGCCTGGCTTGAAAATTCTGGAAGAGTGGCAGGTGATGCTCTGGAAAGCTGAGGCTGGTGGGAGAGCCCACGTGGGATATGTCTCTGTCCCAGGAGTTTGTCTTCAGGCGTTTATTAAATATTCTTCCGTCCCCTTTCAGATCCCACACTGTGGAGTACAGACCATGTCCGGCAGTGGCTGGAGTGGGCAGTCAAAGAATATGGGCTTCCAGACGTTGACATCTTATTATTCCAGAATATCGACGGGAAGGAGCTGTGCAAGATGACCAAAGATGACTTCCAGAGGCTCACCCCGAGCTACAACGCTGACATCCTTCTGTCGCACCTGCACTACCTCAGAGAGAGTAAGGTGGTCCCCTCTCCCACGAAGAGCACTGTCTGAGGTCCTTCTTAACCTCAGATGCAGAGGGTTCAGCCCTGTTACTGCCCTCACTCGATTCCCATTAGGATCTGAGAGAAGGCTCAGAAGGTGATGACTTAGCCAGATGCGGAGTGAAAAGTGGCTCTTTTATAAGAAGCAGCAAAGTCACCCCTAGTGTTCAGTTGCTCCTCCAGGGTTCCCCTGACCGAGATGATCACATATCAGAGGGAAACAGAGCTTTACCTGGTCACACGTTATTTCATCTCCACGATGTCCACACGGAAGGAGAAGCATTACGGAATGGCTCCTACTTGATGGGAAGTATGGCATTTATCTTCCCGAAAGCCAAACCAAACCCCCTTGCATATCCCTGCCCCTTGCCCCCAGGATAAGCGTAGGCTTTTGTTTACAGGTCACATGCTTTCCAGGTGGAACATGGGACAGCCAGTGCATCAGGAAGGCAGAAGGCAAAAGTGGATAGTGGAGGGGTCCTTGGTAAATCTGGGCTCTGTGTTGGCGCTACCGCAGCCTCTTTGGTCTCTGAGTACGCCCCTGTTTTCCTTGCCAGTCAGAGGATTTCTTTCAACCAGGAGACGTGCAGGATTAGCTTCTAGCCGTAGCCTTAGCTCACTTTGCTGGGTTACTGTCTGCTGCTCTGAGTGCTCCAAGATGACCTGTGCTGACTATAGAAACTAAAAGCACGTCCTGTATAAAGGAGCCCTTTGCGTCCTCCTTTATCTCCTTGAAAATTAAAGGCTGAGAACTCAACAGTTAAAAAGAAAAGTTTTTTTTTTAATTCTTAAAGGAGTATTTACTAGGACCAGCAGGGATTATACTTTTCCCTTTTGGGTGAAGCTTTAGGCCATTTGACTTGACTTGTATCATCTTGCACAGACCTTGTACGTTTGCAAAAGGCAGTAGGAGGGAATGTTGGTTACCTATGGGGAGCTTTTGTTGCAAGGGAGGCTATGTTATGATTTTGGAAGATTTGAAGTTAGTGACTAACCAAATACCTGCTATTCCATGTCTTAACTATTGATTCTATATCTTATTAATATTTATTTATCTATGTTTTTTGGCCTGAGCCTGATAGAGTTTAACTGATGCTTCTTCCTGGTTAACCCCTCTCCCTCCCCTCCCAGGAAAGGCTGAGAGTAGAGTCTGGGCATTCTGTGGATGAATGTGGTCCTGATGGCATCCCTTTTCTCCATTGTGATGGAGACACTGTGTAAGCCTGACCACAGGCTGCTAACCCCACTGTATCATTTTGCCGGGACCCTCTGCCACCCGCAGGCTAGGGAGAAAACCATCGAGTGTTGGAAGGACCAAGTAACCCCCCATAAGGGAGCCAGCCAATTCAGAGTCAACCCGCACAGAGAAATGAAGCCGTTTCCCAAATGTTTGCCATGTTATTTTTAAACATGTAATATGAGTGAGTGCAAGCTTGAGTATAGCAGAGATTGCTAGTTGATCTCTTGAGCTGGCCCTCAGTGTTCAGAACATTATGTTTTTAATCTGAAGCTAAAAAAATTGCTTTGAACTGATCGTACACTTTTCTGATGTAGGTTACACAATCAGCTTTTTAAGAACTTCGTGGCCAGAAATAGCAAGCACCTTAGACAAAGTAATTCCCCTCCCTTAGGAAATGCTTTGAAAATACACTCACTTTCAGATAACTTCATAGTCATTTAAGAATTCTTTTTAGCAGGGAATGAAAGTGTCAAGGAAGCTCTGATTTCATTATTTTTGTCCTTGCTAAACATAGAAGCAATCGAAGAGCAGGGAAGCACATTCCAAATGGACTGAGCTGGAAAAAAGGAAATTTTGTCCGTTCACAAGTGGAGCGTTGATTGAGAGAGAGAAAGGGAAGACAGGCATCTGAACAGAGATGTGAATTCATTTTTAATTAGATCCATATATTCTTTGGCAAAATAGTTATAATTCTTTGGTATCACTTTCCAAGGGCTCTGTAAAAATGTTTTATGGATTTTTGTACAATTTGAAAATGAAAACACCCAGCATAGAATTGTTCTAATAAAGCAAGCTTGTGGGAGGATGGAGAAACGCAGGAAGGGGCTTCAGGAGGCAGCTGAATAATCCAAACCCAGGACCCTGTGTGCCAAGTGGAGCATCCCTTCCAGCTTTAGCATCGGCTTCTGGCCCACGTCCTCGTCCCTGCTCCCCAGGTCAGGCGTGGCTCCAGGAGGCCGCCTCCCTTGGCTTTCGGGGGGAAGGTAGGCTAGGCACTGTTGCCGAGATGGACAGGCGGAGCAGCAAGACCTTCACGTGTTCTGTCTTTCCTTTTGTCTGCAGGGGGTGCAGCTTTTATTTTCCCAAATACTTCAGTATATCCCGAAGCTACGCAAAGAATTACAACTAGGCCAGGTACGAAAACACCCCTGTGTCATCTGCTTTTGTTTTTGTTTTTTTTTTGAGAGAGAGACATCCCAGGATGTCCCATGAGATGCGTGACTTACGTCACGTGACACAGCTGATCTTGGATGGGAAGCCCTAAACAGTCTGCCTCTGCCTCTGTGGATCTGGAGCCTAGCATCAGTCAGACCTTTCCACTCAGAGATCACAGGGACAGTTCCCCCCTGAACCTCAGGCTGAAAAGCAGGTCAGCCCGTTCGCCAGCTGCTTTCAGACACAGACGGGCCGAGAAGTCATTCCCTGCACCTGTCCGACTTCAAGTTTACGGAAGGACGTAGTATCATCCATCCATCCTAATCACATGGCTCAGAACCAGTGGTGTCCCCCTAACACAAGTGGCCAGTTCCCAGCTGTCATGAGAGCCAGCCTTTCAGAGCAGAAGCGTGTAATCGATCATATTTACACCTGAATCTTTGTGTGTTTCCTGATGACTTAATTAGCTTACTAATTTATGTGTCATTCATGAAAAAATATATATCAGTAGTTATCAAGGGCCTATTTGTGCCAAGTGTGATGTTAAATGCTGGGGATCTAAAGATCAGCCAGACTTCAGAGAGCTCCCTGCTTTCAGAAAACTGACCTGGCCTTTCCCTAGGTGGCCACCCACCCTCCTGAGTTCCAGGCATGGCGTGCAGTGGAGAATGAGCCCACGGCATACAGGCTAAAGCTCTAGATGTTTCAGTAAAGTCACCTAGAGCCAGAACAGACTCACATGCATCATATTTAACCGTTTAAGAGTGAGGTGCCTGGAGCCGGAGGGACCGAAATGGGTGTTTAACCTAAAGCACTGATCTTGCAGTAGAAGCACCACCTCTGACAATAGCGGCTGTGGGAGCAGGAAGGGAGAAGGATTCCTCCCTGAATTCCTGCCTCCAGGAAAGGGATGGGCCATGTGCACTGCAATGGAAGGGCCATGTACCGGAGGAGGATGGAGTGTTGCCAGGTGGAGAAGTGCAGCGGGTGGCCTTGGGCAAGCGTGGTTCCCACATCTAAGCCCTCACTGGTATGCACAACCCCGCGAGCTGGATGCCGTGAGCAAGCCTCATAGCTGAGGAATCGTGACTCAGGGCTGTGGGATGGCTTCTGCCTGTCCACACGTGGATCTGGAACTCCCATCTTCCTTCCTAGACCCAAGCTGTCGCTCTTCAGCTTCTGTCATCTGTCCAGGCTGCCCAAGTCCCCGTGTGAGTTGGTCCCATGCACCAAGGTTGTGGTTGCTGTTTCTCCCCATCAAAAAAGATGGGGGACCAGAGAGCTGACTAGCGCAGGGGAAGATGCTTCTCTGGGTGAGGACCGCTCTGGTACTGCGATGGAGCCGGCGATTTTCTGTCCTCTGACCTTGTAAAGTTTTCTCTCCTGTCCCTCCTGAAAAGCACAGTGGAAAAGTTCAGCCAATGTGCTTAGTTATCTCTGACGCAGGCCACGTAATCGTGGACAAGACTCAGGGTCTGCAATGATCTAGACTGGCTCCAAAGGAACCCACTGCCTGTACTGGAAAAGGAACATCAACGCGCACATGTCATGCTAGGTCTAGACGTGCCTGAGCTTACTGCCAGTAAATGCACCTTTAGGGGGATGCGGGACGTATAGGAAAATCATACTGATTTTGTAAGTGTTTTACTCACAGAAGCAGAAGCTGCCTGTAAACCTTTGGCCAGGGGTTGCTCATTTGTTTGTCTGAAGAGATTTCGTGGATGTGTCTGAGTCTCAAAAGCTGGGAATTGTGAGCTGGTGTTGGGGTCGTGGGGCCATGTGAGTTGGTTTAGTGTGATGGTCAGGACTACATGTTGCTTGACAGACAGAACAGTAGGTCTTTTGACTTCCCTGGGGGTCTGGTGGTCAGACTCTGCGCTTCCAGTGCAGGGGGCAAAGGTCTGATCCCTGACTGGGGAGCTAAGACCCCATGTGCTATTTGACTCAAAAAGAAAAAAACAGTGGGTCCTAGAGCTTCTTTTTACCCTGTTTGAGGATGTGTGGATTTGGAAGAGGTCCTTTTCTTAATATTATAAAGTTTTATTCATATTTTTATATCCTCTTTTTAGATTTGTTTTTAATTGAAAAGGATAATTGCTTTGCACTAATGTGTTGGTTTTTGCCATGCGTCAGCATGAATCAGCCGTGGGTATACATGTGTCCCCTCCCTCCTGAAGCTCCCTCCGACCTCCCACCCCATCCTACCCACTAGGTTGTCACAGAGCCCCGGGTTCTGACTCCCTGCATCATGAGCGAATCCCCACTGGCTGTCTGGGTTGCGCGTGGTGATGCGTCTGTTTCAGCGCTGCCGTCTCAGTCCGTCCCACCCTCTGCTTCCCCCGTCCGTGTGCACATGTCTCTTCTCCGTGTCTGAACCTCCACTGCTGCCCTGCCCGTAGATTCATCAGCACCCTCTGGAGCGTCCAGGTGTCAGAGAGGAGAGTGGCTGGGAGGACCCCGGCGGGGACACCCCAGGGAGACAAGGGTCGCCAGCGCTCGTTCACCTGGCAAAACCCTGATCATGCACTTTCCTTCCGTCTGTCATCCAAGCGTGACTTGGAAGAGATTCAGTTTTCCCCAAAATACCTGTTTTGAGGATTGCCACTGTGACTCTGAAAGGTGTCTGAGATAGCTATGAAGAATTTAAATCAGAGCAAACACACCAGAGAGCTATTTGCTGTCAGCCAGACTGAGAGATTTGGACTTGGGGAGAGTCAACTTGTTTGTACACTTGGGGTGGGCCCGTGATCAGCCTTGCAGGGACGGCTTGGTAGTGGTGCAGTTGGAGAAGTTTGCGATGGCTTGGGAGGGGGTGGGGAGGGACAGATGGGTGGTGCAGGGGTCTTTGGGAGAGGGGGGGTCCCTGGGAATCTGACCGTGTGCCTGTGGTCACTGGGTTTCTTTCAGAAGAGGTGGTTGCTGACTGTTTCTGGAGAGAGGCCTTGGGTGCAAAAGCCCAAGTTCCCGTTCCCCCGCACCCTTGGTCTGTAGTGTCTGTTCACGTCTCTGATCTCACACCCACGGAGACAGAGGACTCCTTCCTCCCATCCATCTGTCCTGCCGAGCCCAGCGTCCTGGTGCTCCCTCCAGCTCCTTCATTTCCTTCCTTCTCCAGCACCCAGCCCTGGGCTGCCTGCCCCCTCCTCCCTTTCTTCTTGCCAAGGTCCGTGGAGCCTGTATTCCGGAGTTCCCTTGCGGCCTGCCCTGTCCAGAGGCTGCATCCTTTCTGTTTCCCCCACAGTCAGCCGGGACCGCCCGGGGACCTTACAAGAAAGGGCACCATGGGCAACATACTCCTTGTTCACACCGCAGCCCCTGCCTTCCCGTGCTCGTTCCTATTTATTTTTCCCAAACTGTCCTGACTCGGAATGCACCCTGTTTTCATGATCCCTCTGTTGAACCAGCATTTAGATGAGTCTGTCCACTCCTCTTAGAAAATGCTAGCACATGGGCAGATCCGTTTACATTCTTTTTTTATGATCGCATTTCGTGGTATCACATGTGTTTCTCTGGGAGTCAGTTATTATTACCAGAAGTCCTTTTCCCATCCTCCCCAGAGGCACCCTCCTCTTTTTTTTGCTGCATTCGTGCCTTTGGGGGATGATGGCCCCTTGAGGCGTCAAGGGGCACAGAGGCAAGTCTGACTCGGGGAAACTTGCAGGCTGGTGTTTGACCTCGTGATGTAAGCCCTGCCTGATGTCTTGGGAGCGGCGTAGTGTGAAAGCGCTGGTGTGAGCCCAGGACGATCTGTGACCCCACGCGCTCCTCCTCCATCACCATGGCAACCCATGCACCATGAGCCACATCTAGGATGTTGTTGAAGGAGGCTCGAGTCTGGGGTCTGCAGGTGCAGCCTTGACTTCGGCTCTCCAGCGGGTGCTCCTCAAGAGCTCTGTGGGATCACCAGTGATCGCTCCTTCAGGGTGTGCAGCGCAGAGCCAGTCAGCCTCTCCAGTCACAGCAAGACCGCATAGCTAGTGCCCCGTCTCCTCAGTTAAGCCTCCATCACAGCACGTGGCTGAAAATGCATTCTGGCCTTTGCCCTGACTCTGCTATAACCACAGAACCCGCAAACCTGGCTGAGAAGGGAAGGTGAAATGCCCCCCACCCCCCGCCCACCAGATCCCCATGCCTTTGACAGAAGAGTTTAGGAGACTGTAGGGAGAGCTGGAGGAGAACGGGAGAGGGTAATTTAATCACGGTAGTTAGGCTTGACTCTAAAAATTCCGTGCATTAAGTAGGTGTTTAGAGATTGGTTTTGGGCCGTAGCTGTTGGTCTTTGTGTCTTTGCTGTTAGCATCCAAGTTCATTGAGAGCTGGCAGAATCCATCCTTTCACATCCAGCACAGCCAGGGACCTCCAGAGTTGCTTTGTACATGTGGCGTGGGTCCTGCAGAGGAAGGGTAAGCCCTCTCACGATCCAAGTTCTGGTCCTTTAAAGTGGCGGGTGGACTTGAAGAGGGCCAGCAGGGCTGTTCGGTGATCCTGATGAAAAGAGAGTATAAAACTTGGTGAACCTGATCTTGCAAGAAGGACAGCAAGGACGCTGTGTTACATCACTGATGTCTGGAGGAGGGAGCAGTGCGGGGGAGGAGTCTCGTTCAGAATCAGGAATGGATCTTGTTGCTGTTTAGTCGCTAAGTCATGTCTGACTCTTCAAAACCCCATGGACTGCTGCACGCCAGGCTCCTCCGTCCTCCACTATCTCCTGGAGTTTGCTCAGATACATGTGCATTGAGTTGGTGATGCCATCCAACCATCCCATCCTCTGCTGACCACTTCTCCTCTTGCCTTCAGTCTTTCCCAGCAAAAGGGTCTTTTCCAATGATCCAGTTCTTCACATCAGGTGGCTAAAGTGTTGGGGCTTCAGCTTCACTTTCATCATCAGTCCTTGCAATGAGTGTTCAGGGTCGATTTCCTTTAGCCTTTACTGGTTGGATCTCCTTGCAGTCCAAGGGACTCTCAAGAGTCTGCTCCAGCACCATAGTTATCTTAACTCCCAGGACATAAGCAGAGGTGCTGGGGTGAGGGAGCCAGCACCAGTCACAATCCTTCTTTGTAGTTTCATGGGTTTTGGTCTAAATCATGGCAGAGAGCGTACTTCTTTGGTACCTTCAGCTGCCTCTGGAATGGTTCTTATAAAACTCAGTTTTGAAACAGTCTGTTAAAGAAATAAAAAAAGCAGAACCCATGCCAGAAAGCAGCCTTCCCTGGCACAGACCTTCTGCCAAGTTTATGAGTTAATGGCCTTGAAGATCAAAATGGAAGAGAAATGAAGGGTGGGTTGAAATGACCACCAAGAAGTGACATGTAAACTGTGTTCTTATTCAAAGTCTTATGATCTACTCATCCATCAGGGGCCAATAGCAAATGTACACGGTGTCATAATTTTTCGAGCAGCCAAGGAGCAGAACTGCTCAAAACTGGCTCTGCTTCGAGGTGGTGTAGCTGCTGGCAAGGTCACTGAAATGGTCGTCTCTCAGCGAGGCCTGGGTCAACATTTCCCAATGTCACATCCCACAGGAGGGGCTCGGGGTCCCCACGGCACATGATCAGTAGCTGATAAGACAGCCCTGGGGCAGAATTTCATGAACAAAAACAAAACTCCACTTATCTTCCATGGCAGTATGCTCATGAGCACATTAATCATCGTTCATGTAAACATCTCAAGTTCTTGGCTAAGAATCAGGCCTGGCGTTGTTTAGGTCCTGACTGATTTTCGAGGCAGGATGGGACACGGTTGTGCACTCTACGAAGGACGTCATGAAGAAAGAGTTTCAAAATATTTTTCTATTAGTAGCTTGGTGCTTAATTTCTTCCAGGTACCTTTCACGGGCAGTCTTCTTATGTTTAAGGTAGTAGCAGACTCACCGACTGACACTGGCTATGAATTCCATTCGTGTTCTCATATTTCAGGCAAAAGCATTCCATCTAGAACCCTGTCCCCTCATTTGTTGGCATTCACAGACTCAGCGTTTCTGAAATAATTATCTGTAGGAACACAGATTTGTAGAAAAGAAAAATGGAAATTGTCTAGAACAAGCTTTCTCAAACTTCAGTGTACAGCCAAGTCAAGTGAGATCTTGTTTTGAAATGGAAATATAGTTGATTTACAATGTCATATTTTCTGGTGTACAGAAAAGCGATTCAGTTATATATATATGTGTGTGTGTGTGTGTGTATACATATATATACCTGCACATACATTCTTTTTCTGATTCTTTTCTCCTATAGGTTTTTACGAAATATTGAGTATAGTTCCCTGTGCTATACAGTAGGTCCTTGTTGATTCTGTTTTATTTTTAGTAGTGTGTATATGTTAATCTGATTTATCCCTCCCCCACCTTAGGAAACCATAAGCTTGTTTTCTATGTCTGTGGGTCTATTTCTACTTTGTATATAAGCTCTTTTGTATCATTTTTTTTTAAGATTCCACATGTAAGTGATATCATATATGTGTCTTTCTCTCTCTGCTGCTAAGTCACTTCAACCGTGTCCGACTCTGTGCGACCCCGTAGACGGCAGCCCACCCGGCTCCCCTGTCACTGGGATTCTCTGTCTGGCTTACTTCAATAGAGTGATAATCTCTAGGCCCATCTATGTTACTGCAAATGGCATAATTTAATTCTTTTTTAATGGCTGAGTAATATTCCATTGTGTGGTTTCCCTGGTGGTTCAGTGGTACAGAACCCACCTGCTAGTGCAGGAGACGCAGGTTTGATGCCTGGGTCAGAAAGATTCCCCTGGAGAAGAAAAATGGAAACCCACTCCAGTATTCTTGCCTGGGAAATCCCATGGGCAGAGGAGCCTGGCAGGCTATGGTCCACAGGGTCGCAAAAGAGCCAGACACGACTCAGCAGCTAAACGACACCAATATTCCATTGCATGTGTCCCGCATCTTTATCCGTTGGTAGTCAGTGGGCATTCAGGTTGCTCCCGTGTCTTGGCTATTGTGAGTAGTGCTGCTATGAACAGGGGTGCACGAGTCTTTTCTAATTATGGTTCTCTCCCGACATATCCCCAGGAGTGGGATTGCAGGGTCATATGGTAGCTCTATTTTTTTTTTTCAACACGAATCTGGTAAAATGCAGATTCTAATTCAGTAGACCTAGAGTGAGATTCTGCATTTATAGCAAGCTCCCAGATGTTACCAGTATTGCTGGTCCGTGGAGAAACGAGGACCTGGAGCATATTTCTGGATTGTCTTGCTTTTTCACTCTGTAGATGAAAACCCTGTCCTCGGTGTGACTGTCTGCTCCTGTAGTGGGCTGACATACTCTTACAATTGCCCTCCTAGATGTTTCTTTCTGAGACAGTTCTCAAATTGAAACTCTGGCTAGCCATTTTCTAGCCAAAAGGCAGCTAGATGAGAATCCGTGTGCAAATGCCCCCAGCGACCTAAGTTGAAATTTAGTGGTAAATTGATAGCAGCTGCAGATTTAACTCCCCTGTGTAATCCCAACATCAGAAAAATGAGACTCTGAGGGACTGGGTGGGAAACGCTTCCAGTCCCAACATACAAAAGTGCCCATGAAGAGGGAGTGGTACGCAGCAGCAGAGAAAGTGATCAAACTCAACCGAAGCTCTGGAGGGTAGGATTTCATAGACCACACCAGTCGAGATGGTCGTAGCCAAACAGACCAAATAAATTAGGGCAATTCTGTGTTGGATTTCACGTTTCATTTCGTTGCTTGTCTCTCTGGGATAGGAAAATGGAAAGAGACATGTCTTTTGCAACATAAGTCAAGCTTTTTGAAGACAGACCCACCAAATGGCCAATTTTAAACCAAGTTTAAAACCTCTCCACGTGAGAGTGTATAGCCATCTCCAGGTGTCTGGCAGCAGGAAGCCTGCTGCAGGACCTGGGTATGGCATTCAGCTGGCCCAGTGACACACGGCATTGAACCTACCGATCCAAGAAGACGTAGGTGTGAAATGGCTCTGTCATAAGACCGCGTGTACCAATAGCTTTACGTAGGCACAGTCAGTAAGAGCATGCATAATAACATTTCTGGAATATATTTTAAAGGAAACTTGAAACAACTTAGAGTCATAATCATAATAGAGCTTGCACTGAGGGTGCCGAAATATAATTATTCAGTTTGCATATGCGAAGTGTGATGAAGGTTTATGGGACAAGTGACAATACATTATAAATACAAAAAAAAAAATCATTGGCATATACTTCAGCTCTATGATCACTGCTGATATGTTGTGGAGGCAATACTATTTCAGTCTTACCGATGACTTCATGAGATTCCTTTTAGGGAAATCCTAAATTCATTTGGAGCAGGAGAAAAAGTAGACATTTGCACAGAAGAAGAGCTAGTCCCTTAAGACTGATTTAATAAAAGTGGATGAGGGGGAATGAGGGGTGGCTGAGAGAGGCAGATGGCAAATAAAGAAGGCAGTCCTCTTTTCCAAGAAGAGGAAGGAACACAAATGCCATTTGGTGGATTTAGGGTCAGGCCTTGAGCAGGATCAATTCATTCATCAATACTGCAGGCTGTGTTTCAGACAGGTCATGCACATAATAAAGGGGTAATGGACTTCAGTCAGCTCAAGCTGGAAGCAAAACAAATAGATTGTAAGAAACTTGATATGGCCTTGAGCTATGATTGCAATAAATAATTTTAGGAGAGTCCACCAGCAAAGAGTCTGTCCATGGGAGTTTTCAGATTAATGGGTGAAAATGGGTTAGATCAATAAAAGATACAAAGTTACCTTTTGTAAATAAAACATAAATCTCATGAAACCCAGGTTGAATGTTTCTTTGGATCACTGGGTTTTCTCACTTATTCTAATAAACACAAACTTTAAAAAGCATACAAAATAGCTATTATCAAGCTACATCATTGATCTTTTAGTCATTTTATTTGTCTTTACAGATTTACCTTACGAACCACCCAGGAGATCCGCCTGGACCAGCCACGGCCACCCCACCCCCCAGTCAAAAGGTACGGTGTTGGTTCCCGCTGCCTTGAACCCTCCCATCACCAAGCAGTGGGTGATGGAGTAAATGATTATCTCTTTAGCCAGTTTGCGCTTTTTCAACATACAACGTGTGTGTCCCTTTGGCCCCAAAGTGCAACTGATCTTTAAATGCAATGATTCATTCTCTTTGGGGGTTAGACATATTTCTCTAACAGAAAAAAGTGAACAATGTGATATATTTCCACATGGACAAATACATGTTTCATGGGATGCTTTGAGTACGGATTAAACGCCAGGTCATTTCCCAATCTTGGCCATGTTTAAAGTATTCCTTGCTTTATTTTACTTTCCTAGTAATTTCCCTTTATCTATTTATTTTAGAGGGCAATTCATTTTAATTTGTTTTGTAAACCATCTCAAATTTTCTTTTCAGTTTTGGAAAAAATGGGGTACAAATAACATTTTAAAATAAGCTAGAAGGCCTTTGTTTTGCTACTGTGTTTGCATTTGATTTTGTTAAAAAGGGAAAATTTTCCTTACCCTAAGATGCTTCTTATCATAAGAGTAGGACTCTTGTGTTCATAACTGAGATAACTGGTGGAATGATGAACAGCGGCACCAGAATCCAGTAGTCAAGCACAAGTTATGGCTAATCATCTCTTTCATTTTTGGATTTTCAGCTGCTCAGCCATCTCCTTCCACAGTGCCCAAAACTGAAGACCAGCGTCCCCAGCTAGGTATGTTTCAGGGAACCTCTTGATGGTCATAAAAGAAGAAATGGGCCTAGAAGCATCTTTCTAAGATGGGTCACTTTCTAAATGAAATTAATATTCCTTTGTCTTCTTTAGGACTGTTCCATATGTAAAATGGGCATCAAATTCCTAGTCTACTCAATTGGAAATGATTGTGTTTTTGCTAAACCATTTACAAAAATCTATGCAATAAATATGGAAAATCCATTCTATATGCACCCAGCTTCTTTGTTTCCTGGGAACTATTTGACTTTACCTTTCAGGCCACATACAACAACATCAGCCCAGAAATGCAATGGAAGGTTGCTTCTGCCAGCGAGCTGAGCAACGCAGCCAATATTGTCCTGGGGCCGGTGAGGGACTGAGGACATTTGCCCTGTTTATGTTCTGGGATGGAGAGAGCCCTGGACTGGATGTCAGGAACCCCAAGCCAAATCTGAGCTCAACCACCAGCTTGAGATCTTTACCTCCAAGCTTATCTCAGATCCACGTGACATCTTCTCTAACACAGGAAGTGGTGCTGGGGGACTTTGGTGTGGGAGGCATTTTCAGCTCTGAAATCTGGAAGCACCAGCAGGTCAGCATCATTCTTGCAGTTACATCCCACCTGCTCAAAACCGTGTCTTTTATTTTTGCTGCAGATCCTTACCAGATTCTTGGACCTACAAGTAGCCGCCTTGCAAATCCAGGTGAGACACTGCTGATGGTTTTGCTCTTACAAAATTATCTTTTGGGCAGGAGCTATTTTGAACATTGAACCTGTATAGGCAAAGAAATCCCTTCCACTGAACAAATTTAAGTTGTAGGTTTCACTGGATTACTTACCTAAATGGAAAATAAAATGTTTGGGTTATGAACTTGACATTTAGCTTCAGCGAAGAGCATCCTTACCGAATCCAAGCTGTTTCAGCTTCCTAGGGCTGCTCTGCCAAAGTACTACAGGCTGGAGGCTTAGACATCAGACATTTATTGTCTCCTGGCTCTAGAGGCATGCATGTGTGCTAAGTCCCTTTAGTTGTGTCTGACTCTCTGCGACCCACCAGGCTCCTCTGTCCGTGGGGATCCTCCAGGCAAGAATACTGGGGTGGGTTGCCATGCCCTCCTCCAGGGGATCTTCTCAACCCAGGGATCGAACCCCAGTCTTGTACATCTCCTGTATCGGCAGGCAGGTTCTTTACCACTAGCACCACTTGGGAAGTACTAGAGGCCTGAAGTCCAAAATCAAGTTGTCAGGGTTCTTTCCCTCTGCGGACCATGGAGAAGAATCTAAGACCTCTCCTTGGCTTGCAGATGGCCATCTTTGCCTGCATCTCTTTACTTCTGTATGTTATCTCTGTGCCCAAACTCCCATTTCTACCAGGACCCCAGTCAAACTGGATTAGAGCCCGTGCAAATGATATTACTTTAACTTGATTACCCCTCTAAAGATCCTTTTCCCAATGATGTCACATTCCAAGGTACTGGGCCAACCCAACATATGAACTGGGGGTGGTGGGAGGACCACACTTCAGCCCATCACACAGCAGATAAAATAATATCTTAAAAAAAAAAAAGAACCTAATGACAACCATAAGACTTCAGACTGAGGCTCGTCATCAATGAATGGCCCGTGTCTGAACTCAGATGCCAGAGGAAAGCGCAGCTTCTTAATTGGCCATTTGTAGCCTGTCCCTTGCCGAGGATTGTCACCTGTCACCATGCCTCGGTGCCAACCAGATTGTGTGATTTGTTTGTGTTCGGGTCAGAACCAGCTGTGCTGGCATCCACTTCAGAAATGCACAGCGTCTGCTGCATATTCTCAACAGCAACTTCAGATGCCAAGATGTCACAGGCATGTGGCAAATCCCAGCTGGAATGTGTGTTTCCTAAACGTTGAGGCCAAAATGGGGTTAGAAACGGGAAAATGTAGATTCTGTGTAAATCCCCACAGGGAATCTATACTTTGTAAAATGTAAAATATCATCATTATTAGGAGTTCTGCATCTTTGACGCTGAAGTTTAATGGTAACTGGTGCAATAAATGTTTTTTATAAACAGCAGAGAATTGAAAAGGTCAGTTTTGTTTATTGCATTAAATCCAGGCATAGACCAGGTGCTCAAAAATTATTATAAATGAATGCAAGGAGTAACAAGATACTCTCCTTGACTCTCAAGGAGCTTCCACGGACACAGATTTCCTCAGCATCCACCTGGTGACTACGTCTCCTGGGTCCATTCTTATGCCTGTGCTGAGCTTCCCATTTGCAACTACCTCCGCTGCTGTTCAGTCGCTCAGTCTTGTCTGACTCTGCAGCCCCATGGACTGTAGCACACGGGGCTTCCTTATTCTTCACTGACGCCCGGAGTTTGCTCAAACTCGTGTCCATTGAGTCAGTGATGCCATCCAACCAACTCATCCTCTGTCGTCCCCTTCTCCTCCCACCTTCAATCTTTCCCAGCATCAGGGTCTTTTCCAANAAGGTCCCTTTGAGTGAGGCTAGTATTGTTTTGCATTATTTGTAATTGTGGATTTAAAAAAGATTTCTAGACCTTAGAATGAATGAACAGAGTGTATTTGAAGAAATCATCTTTCTTTTTTATTCATATGTGCTGATAATCATTAACTCTAATTAGGTATTTCATAAACATTCTGGACATACTCCTATCTAATTAAACTTTAAAAAGCAGCTTCTCCTGTTGATATAAAGATGAATCATGTAGTTTGCACCAGGAAATAAAAGCTTGAATTTATGTGACTTAAGCCTTGATTCTGTCCCACCTTTTTGTCCTCCCCTGCAGTTAAAATGAAAGCATCTGCAGTTGGAATCACTGAGGCAAAAAAAAAACCCCTAAATTTAAACCACATGCTTGGAATTACAGTCCCAGTTTTATTTCACCTCAGTTGCTGATTCTTGTTAGACCTATCAGCCCTCTTCAAAATTAAGACTCACAAATACTTCTTGTAATTTTCTGTTCTTTCCAAATGCAAAACACTTATTTTGTTTTTATAGGCCATTAATTTTTCTTTCCTTTTTTTTTTTTTTTTTTTTTTTTGCCTTGAAGCATGTAGAGTCTTAGCTCCCTGACCAGACCAGGGATTGAACCTGCAGTCTCCCTGCATTAGAAGGTGAAATCTTAACCACGGGACTGCTAGGGAAATCCCAACATCCAACTTCTGACCTGAAGATAAAGACTTCTCTTACTTGGTTTATAATGAAGTGGGCTTCCCTGGTGGCTCAGATGATAAGGAAGCAGCCTGCAATGCAGGTGACTTGCAGGAAACCCAGGTTTGATCCCTGGGCGGGGAAGATCCCATGGAGAAGGGAATGGCAACCCAGTGCAGTGTCCTTGCCCGGGAAATCCCATGCGCAGAGGAGCCTGGTGGGCTACAGTCCATGGGGTCGCACAGACTCGGACACGACTGAGCGACCAACACTTTCACTTTCTCCATCCCTCCTTAGGCTGTGTATTCAGTTACATTCATGGGGCCTCCCCCTCCTAAGACAAGAATGTCTTTTATCCTGCTATTAATGAGAATGCCTCTTCCTGTTTGGTTCTGGTTGCCCGGTCTCTGATAAATAAATCCTTCACCACTTGAAACCGCTGCCTTTGCTCTCCACACGATGCAAACTTTAAAAACCAATTTAAATGAAAAGATGACCTCACGTGATGCCCAAAATGATAACAGCATTTCCGCATCTCCCTCCCAAATATGCTTTTGGTGTGCAGTGGGGACCATATTTCTCCTGCTGAGACGAGTGTGTCCTTGCATTATGAAGTTCTGGATCAGACACTAGTGACATCGCCCCCTTTATATCCCATCAGAGTGGCTAAGTGTTTATCCTGGCTCCTGTGATGAACAGAAATTGCCTCTCCGGGAAAGTGCTATCTTGGGAACAGATCACTGCCTCCCTTGGGGCTCACTGGGGAGGCTTTAATGGTGAGCGTGAAAGTGGAACCTGCTCCAGGCAGGGCCAGAGACCAGTGTTAGGGATGCTTTGGCATTGGACAGAAGGGGGGAGTGTCCAGTCTTTTACTGAGACTTCCCAACCGCAGATCCAGGGAGGGGAGGAAGGACCTGAAGGGCCTGTGGAGGCGTGTGTAGAACCCAGGCCTGGAAGCGGGCCTGGAGTCCAGGTTCCAGCCCTTGCTGACCTCCGGCAAGATCAGCCACTCTGCCTCTTGGGCTCCGATTCCCCATCCCTGCCAGGGCTGTCACGTAGTCCTGGGGAGCGAGGGGTTAAATAAACACATGGACCGTCTTCAGAATGATGCCTGCTACTAGATAGCTTCCAGTGACACTGGCCAGCCCTGAGAACACCACCATTCCCAGCTTCTGTCCCGCCAGCCTGCGATTTCTGGGGAGGAAGGAGGGTGGCTGGTTTCCTTTGGCGTCTCCTGTTTGGAGGCAAGGGAATTACCTTTCGTTAAACCCTGGTTTCCGCTCAGACAGATCATGGTCCGAGCACTCATGCACTGAATTTGTCTTCATGGAGATCCTGCAAGGTGGTGTGTTAATACCACCATGTTGATAGTGTTACATCACCCCATTCTGCAGACAGGGACACTGAGGCGTAGACGGCCGGGCGAGCCGCCGCAAGTCCCGTTAAGAGGCAGAGCCAAGATTCAGCTGAGATGGTGCCGACTCCAAAGGGGTGTTTCCAGCCCCTATGCTTCCCTGTCCCCCCCCACCCCCCACTAGTTCTGTCTGGGCCACCCTGAGCCCTGGCGGAGCCTTCCATCTGGGACACACGCTGGCTGCCTTGATCTGGACGTGGTGGCGGGGGGTCCAGGCTGTGCACTTGAGTTTTTCTGCAGCATCTCTAGCTACTGCAGAAAGTCCAGCCACCAGCCCCCACAGTGCCCGCTGGGCCCACTCTGCTTTACTTACGGCTCTCTCCCACCGTCAGCTGGGGGCCGAGGGTCCTCCTTGGGACGCCCCCTCCTGCCTGCCCCATGGCTGCTGAGTCACTCCCAGATGTGCTTTTCTCTGTGGTTTATAAACCGTTTCGCTGTTCTGCCCTTTTTCGTTGCCCGGTTTGTATCTCTGTGCTACGGTGTTTCTCTTTTCTTTCTTTTTCATTCATTGTTTTATTGAAGGATGGCTGCTTTGCAGAATTTTGTTGTTTTCTGTCAAACCTCAACATGAGTCAGCCAGAGGTATACATATATCTGCTACCTTGTGAACCTCTCTCTTCTTTTCTTTGAATCGGAGATGACGGTCCTCCCCCAGAATTAAAGGCGGTCCTCCCCCAGAATTAAAGGCTTACCTTTTGTCTTCTTTGAAGCCATGCCCCAGGCCCCTTCATCCCATGGGGCCTTCCTGTAGGTGGGCAGCCAGCAGGCTTGGATTCCCCCATCCCCAATCTTGCCTTTTTAGTTAATTACCCTGGACAAAGCTAGGACAAAAGTAGCTACTCTTTACTGATGTTTCAAAGGAGGTTATCAGGATAGAGGAGAAAAGAGATGTAAAGAGTTTGTTTTTTTTTCCAAAGAAGGTGATTCTTGAGGCGCAGGTGATGAGGCTGTTGGATGGACAATAGGTCTTAAACGGGCTTCTGTTTTTACTTGTTGGTTTGGCCGGTGAGACGCCCACTCTTAGACTATCTAAATCTTAGGTATTCGTGTTTTGGAATCTCTATTCTATCTTCTAATACACACCTTTAATGCACAGTGTTACTGTTTTGACAGTAAAAGAAGGATTTAATAAATGGCTTTTGAAATTCTATAGCCAGGAATAACTCAATTAATTTACCACCAACTGTAACTCCTCAGCAAATATTGTGCCTCCTTGAGAATTCAAGCAGAACAAGAAGATCTGCTATAGACTGTGAAGGCAGTGGGTGTTGTTATATCGCACTGAACAGTTAATGAGCTTGACATAATGTTGCATTTGATAGCATCTGCTTAAACAATGGGGCTTCCTGCTGGCTCAGTGGTAAAGAATTCACCTACCAATTCAGGAGACGGGGATTCGATCCCTGGTCCACAAAGATCCCTGGAGAAGGAAATGGTGACCCACTCCAGTATTCTTGCCTGGGAAATCTCTTGGATAGAGGAGCCTGGAAGGTTGCAGTCCATGAGGTCACGAAAAGCCGGACATGAGTTAGTGACTAAACAACAACTTAAACATTAATCAGTGTACATTTATGGCTTTTTTTGGTAAGGAAGCAGATGAATTTTGTTTTACAGATGTCTTATTCCCATATACCCTTGAAAGGCTCAGAAGTCCAAGCCCCTGTGTCTTAAAGGCTGATGGTAAAATAGTCAAAGGAGAAATTCCTCATCCATCCTTTGACCTTCCGGTTTCTAATCCTGAACTTAGGTCCCCGACTTACTAGTTCTTTAGAAACAGGAGAGATGAGAAAACACTTTTCTCTGCTGTTTTTCTCTTACACACATTTATAAAAGAAGTGAGTGAGGGACAGATTGCCCAGAGACAATGCCAAGGTTTGAAGAGATGACAAGTATAATTTTGGCTGTTTAGGAAAATCTGTGTATTTTATACAAAATCTATGGGATTGTTGTCTCTGTGGGAGGAGGTTGACAATGAATATCTATTTTCAAACAACTCTGTGTGCTTATATTGAAACATGTGTTAGATTGTTTAAATCAAAAATCCATGTTTTTCCCTATTCCCAAGGCATATATGGAATTTTTTTTCAAGTAGTAACCCTTTAGTTACAATATGTATACTAAAACCATATGGTTTTCTCAAACTGCTCTTTGTATTTTTTAAAATGCATATTAATGAAATGTTGGGGGCAGCAAAAATTGATTGAGAACAGTTCGAATATGTGGCCCCCCAAAAGTGAAGACTTTACATTGTGATGAACTACAAGCTGTTAATACATTTCAAATGTGTTGCTAGAGTGAAAAAATGCTAATTTTCCAGAACGTATTCAGAAAAGGCTGACCTTTCTCACGATGCTATCGTATGGATAGATTCACAAACATGTCCACTGCATACAGCCAATGTGGAAACAAAGATTTATGAGCTGGGCTGTTTATATGGGGAGCTTGTGGACAGGATTTAGAGAAAACAAATTTATAATTGATTTTTACATTTCATCAATTCCCTGAAGAATTGGCAGGGTTCCTTTAATCATTTTATCATATCTATTGGTATTTACTCATAGTGTAACAAAAGGTCATCTCCTTGGTAACAAGCCCAAGGCGATATCTGGGAGTTTGGGAGCAAAGACCTGCCTCTTACCTGTTTTCAAAGCTTCCAAAACCTGCTTAAAGCGTCTTAGCTTCTCCTGGTCACAGTCTGACTGTGGGTATTTGCATGCCTCTCTCTTTAAGGGAGCCATCAATCATCCTAAAGTTTTGTTGCATAGAGCCTAGAATGATGTGCCTGGATATTTCTCTGAATTTAATAAAACCTAAAAGCCACATCGCTAGACCCCCAGTGGGATCAAGAGAACTGTGTAGACACCCAGTCAAATGAGATCGCATTGACTCAGTTGGAGCCTCATTCCGCTCCCAAGAGGACTTGCAATCACTCATGGTTGCAGTGTTTTCATCTGAAAACTCTGCTTAACCCAACTGGCGTTACAACGCAGCGGCAGCACATGGATTTCCGTTATGATGCATTTGCCTAAATACTGGAAATGGGTGATCTGGTTTGAGACATAGCCAACTTTTTTTTCTAAACTTCCTCATTTTGAGTGGGTTAATTCTGTTCTAGGAAAAGTTTTGACAGAATGGCTTTCTGCGTGCCAGCCCCATGTTATGTTAGAAATAACGGTGTTTACTTCCATTCTTATTTTTTCCATAAACTTTTCGACGTTCATTTCCTAAATCTGACTTTTATTATTCAACTTGACCTAGCCAACATAAATGGTACTAAGTCATTATCGCCAGCCACATAATGGCGCTTTCTGTCTCACAAAAGAGGAAAATTAAGTCTTCCCACCCCCAAAACACAAAGTTGACCTGGCTGCTCTTCTAAGGAAGTCAGAAATGAAGGAAACCGACTTGAACTCTGCCCTGTGGGAATTCTTTGCATTCCTGAAAGGACTTGGATCGGCCTCTAGATCTGTCTGGTCGTCACCAGGGATCATCATCTTAGGCCAGGTTCCTTAGATGCACAGCTTGGGCTGAGCATACTTGGGCAAGCGATTCACGAAGGGTATGTTCTTGAGGGAGAGGATGCCGGAGACGGCAGGGGAGAGATTAAGGAAGCTTGTGGGCTTCGCTGGGCTTCCCAGGTGGTACTAGTGGTGAAGAGCCCACCTGCCAATGGAGGACACATGAGAGATGTGGGTTTGATCCCTGGGTCGGGAAGATCCCCTGGAGGAGGGCATGGCAACCCAGTCCAGTATTCTCGCCTGGAGAATCCCCTGGACAGAGGAACCTGGCGGGCTGCAGTCCATGGGGTCTGCATGCATGTGACAGAGAGTCGGACATGACCGAGCCACTGAGTGTGCATGCATGTGACCTTAGCGGGAACCTTGCTTCAGTCTGACCCCATCCATGCTAAGTCCCGGGCATGACCAGCATCACAGAATTGGTCCCTCTTTGAGGGCAGGGGGCTGACCTCTGGATTTCTTTGTCAGTCCATCAGGTCATGGGCTACTTGGTTGGGGGGCAGGCGGGGGTTGAGGCAGCTCCAGTTTGGCCAAGGGTAGTTCTCTGGAGAAAGGGGGTTGGTGCTGGGGGACAAGAGTCGTCAATGCCCCTAGCCCAGAGGGACGGGTGCACAGCCTGCTAAAGGAACTCTGCATGGGGCTTTCCAGGTGGCACTAGTGGTAGAGAATCCCCCTGCTGGTGCAGGAGACACAAGGGATGCTGCTTCGATCCCTGGGTCAGGAAGAACCCCTGGGGAAGGGATAGGCTACCCACTGCAGTATTCTTGGGCTTTCCTGGTGGCTCAGACGGTCTAAAGAATCTGCCTGCAACGTGGGAGACCTAGGTTCAGAACTCTGGGTTGGGAAGACTCCCTGGAGGAGGAGGGCATGGCAACCCCACTCCAGTGTTCTTGCCTGGAAAATCCCACGGACAGAGGGCCCCCGGCGGGTTGCAGTCCACGGGGCCGCAGAGAGTCGGACATGGCTTTGCACACCGGTGTTCTCACGGATGTTCGTTTCCTTCCCCCACCTCCTCAGGGAGCGGGCAGATCCAGCTTTGGCAGTTCCTGCTGGAGCTTCTGTCTGACAGCTCGAATTCCAACTGTATCACCTGGGAGGGCACCAACGGGGAGTTCAAGATGACCGACCCGGACGAGGTGGCGCGGCGCTGGGGGGAGCGGAAGAGCAAGCCCAACATGAACTATGACAAGCTCAGCCGGGCCCTCCGCTACTACTACGACAAGAACATCATGACCAAAGTCCACGGGAAGCGCTACGCCTACAAGTTCGACTTCCACGGGATCGCCCAGGCCCTCCAGCCCCACCCCCCGGAGTCCTCTCTCTATAAGTACCCCTCGGACCTCCCTTACATGGGTTCCTATCACGCCCACCCGCAGAAGATGAACTTTGTGGCCCCCCACCCTCCGGCCCTCCCCGTGACGTCGTCCAGTTTCTTCGCCGCCCCGAACCCGTACTGGAATTCACCCACGGGGGGGATCTACCCCAGCACCAGGCTCCCAGCCAGCCACATGCCTTCGCATCTGGGCACTTACTACTAAAGCCCCCGGGAGAGGCCTTTCCCAGCACCTGTGTAGACACCCATCCATTGCTACAAACTGTTATCCGAGACCACGAATCAGAAGTGCCTCAAGGGAAACGCGAACGCTCGGCTGGGGCAAGGGGGAGAGATCCAGAGACTCTGAGCGGGAGGGACTTACTAAACCATGACTACAGAGATCAAGAGGATGCTACCGGTGTACGCGGACAGGTAATCTGTGGACCAACCTTGTAAAAGACATTGTAAGTAGAAGTGTGACGTCATAAGGACAAAGTGCCAAAGAAAACATTCTGAAGACGTGTATAAACCTTAATAGACTAGTCCTTGGGAATCCTGCTAGTGCATTAAGCAGGGATTAAACTCAAGCAATAGATGCCACACAGTCTGGACCTAACATGCCATTTCTAACGTCATTGGAAGGAGAACTACCTGTATTTAAAAAGAGAAACATATCAAACACAGAAAAGAGAGTAGAGGGAGGATCCAGTGGCCCATCGATAAGACACTGTTAACGGAACTCATCGGCATCTGCTGTCTTGGGTGAAATCAGATTCTTGCCATTGGATGTGAAGAACAACCCGAGGCTTCCAACTCCTTGACGATAAGACGGGAACTCTGAGCCACAGGGTGGGACTGAGCATGTGTGTGGAGAGAGAGCACGTGGGTGTGGGTGGAGGAGGCGGGAGAGGAAGACATGGGAAGGCGGAGGGAAGGACTGGGAAGGGAGCTCCCCGAGCCATGCAGACTGGACTCGGGATGGTGTCGGTTCTGCGGAGAGCTGCGTCGTGGAGGCTTGAGGCTTCGTGCGGCCAGTGTTGTACCAAATCCAGTGTTAGGAGGAAGGACACAGCGTGACGGGGGCAGGGCACGCACAGCAGGAGAACGCAGAAACAAAATCATGCATCTCTTTTTTGTGTTGTTTTGTTTGTTTGTTTATCAAAAGAAAAACCGTAACTGGAATTGTCTGATATTTAAAAAGAAACATTCAGGACCTCATCCTTAGCCGGGGGGCTCTGCTCTCCAGGGGGTCAGGTAAGCGCTAGCCTTCTCAGCTACCCCAGTCTGAAATCGCCTGGGTGTCGACAGGGGCAAGGCAGCCTCCAGTTTTGCTTTTGAGTCGCGAACGCTGTGCGTTTGTCAGAATGAAGTATGCAAGTCAGTGGTTTGTTTTTTTTGTTTTTTTGTTTTTCCTTTTTATATAATAATTATATAACTTATGCATTTATACACTACGAGTTGATCTCGGCCAGCCAAAGATACACGACACAAGAGACAATCAATGATCTAATGTGGCCTTGAACTTTAACTCTGTATGCTTAAAATGTTTACAATATGAAGTTACTAGTTCTTAGAATGCAGAATGTAAGTAATAAAATAAGCTTGGCCTAGCATGGCAAATCAGATTTACACAGGAGTCTGCCTTTGCACTTTTTTTTTTTAAGTGACTCAAGTTGTTTAATAGAAACCTGTGCTGTGTGGAGGTGGGTTTGGTGTTAGAGGTTTTGTTTGTCCGGGAACTCGTGCAAGGGAGTGCCAAGGACTTAGCGCATTTGGCAGCTGAATGGTGTGGGCCTCTCCGGGGCCTTCTTGCCAGCTCACCCCGTCTAGGGCAGGAAGACCAAAGGTTTAGCCTGGGAGCCTCCAGGCTTAGGCCCAGAGTGGAAAGAGGCCTCTCAAGCTGGGGTGGTCATTGATAGATTCCAGATCCCCATCCAGTCACAAATCACCCTTCCTTCCTGCATGAAAGCGTCTATTGCATGGTGAACACACGCTTGTTCTCGGCTCAAACTGTGTTACTGTTGGTAAATAAAGCATCACAGATAGCGGCAGTGTCTCACTTGAACGAGACCAGGGACGGCTTCTAAATTCACCATCTGGCTTCTGCATCAGAGGCTCTCAGCGGGTAGCCTGTGGCCTTGACCTTCCCACACCAGGATAATCTGGGTACCCTGGTCTGGGATTGACCAGTCCTGAGCCTGACATGTGTTCAGACACTGTTTATTTCTCTGATCCGAGGTTCGTCCCCCTTGACGCCTTTTCTCTCCTGTGTGCCGTGGGGGATGGAGCCTCAGCCAGGGTGAAGGCGGTTAGGCGAAGCCTCAGCCAGGGTGAAGGCGGTTAGGCGAAGCCTCAGCCAGGGTGAAGGAGAGCCGGGATGCCGGGCCATGTGAGAGGGAGCAAGCCTGAGCAGTTCCCCAGCCCGAGTCAGTTTCTGAACTGGCCCATCTCCGAGCTGTCTGGGGGCTTGTTTTGCACTCTGTAATCCTTTTGCGATGATTAAATGACGTTGCCAAACCTCTGTGCTCTGAATATTTTGGCAGTGGGCTCTAACGCTGGTAGGATCCGATTACCAAAGCTGCAGACACTCGGCATTACTAGAATTAAAAGAAATCCAACTATCCATCAATTACGGCAGCTTGGGAAAGGCCTGCAAAGCGCCTGTGCCTCCTTGGGGAAGATAAATAAATAAGTAAAAGCATAAAAGCTGGCAGCCGGGGGTGACCCACACTGTTTTAATGGAAAAGATCACTCATTTTTATGTTAGAATGCAAAGTCGAAGCACACCTACATTCTGCATATAAATAGCCATTTACTCCCATAAACACTCAGTTCCCCTCTTTCAGGATTGTGTCATGAGCAAAATAATAAAAACAAGGCAGGCTTCTCATATTCAATTTTAACAGATGTTCTCAGTTATGATTCCCCCACCTCCCTCTCTAGCCCGCCCCCTCCCCCCATCCAAATTATTAGCAAACTTTATGACCAGCATGAGCAACTGGGATCATTTTAGATATCATGATGCTGAGTTCTCCCCAATAATTCCTCAATGATATCCTAAAATAACATTCACTCTCTGCTCCTGTAGAACTGAGATCCAAAGTAGTCTCCAGTTGGTATTCATGATGACATCAAGAGCGTTTTCCCTCTGCTTCCCCCATCTCTCCATTTGCCCTGAGGTACACACACGATTGCTATAGAATTTCCCTTCTGTTGCCAAGAGATGGGACCCTTGTTTCCTGTTTTAAATGTCTTTTGGGATTTGTGTATGATGGAATCTCTGCGGATTCCCAAATCTCAGTCAAGACTTCATTTCTGCTCCCAGTTGGATGTCCTTACCGAGTGTCAGAGGGGTTCATGATGAAGCGATTTGTCAGAACTGGTACAGGTAGAGTGCCATCCCCTCCTTCACAGCTCCTTGGCACTGCTACGGCTTTTGCCACCTGGGTCCAAGGGTCTGGAGCGGCGTCACATGAACGGATGATGCTTCAGGGACTGCTAACACCTGGGAGGTGGGCAGTGATTGCAGATAGGGAAAACATGGAGGTCCCATGGGCCACTGCATTGACCTTTAACCTGTGTTTAAAGGAAGCACCATCATTTTTACCTGTCTTCCACCATGCCACCCAAATAGAGGTTCTGAGTTGACTACTCAGAGAATGAAAAGTGCTTTGGATTACTCAAAGGTATCATCACATTTCCATTCCTTCTTTTTATCTTAACCTGGGTTTAAAAAATATTGGTGAAATGTTTTCATATCAAATGGGGAAATGGTTGGCTATAGAAATCAAGTATTAAAAATAACTAGAATGTCTTCATCTTAGCATAGAGCAGCGGCGCTCTAAGTGGGGTCCCAGGAGGCTGCAGGAGCCTCACCTGGAACTTGTTAAAAAAGCAGATTTTCAGGCCCCACTGCAGACATGCTGGATCGGAAACTCTGGTGGTGGGGCTCAGCCGTCAGGTCTGACACACCTTACAGGTAATTCGGAAGCATGCTGAAGTTCGGGAGTCACAGCAACAGAGAAAGATAATCTGTGTCTGTGTATGGGATGGTCAGTGTGAAGTCTCAATGCCATAACCTTTTTTTTTTTCCCCCTGTGGCCACATGAAAAGCAACCATCAGGGAAACCAGTTTACTCTGGAAGTGCCATCCAGAGTTATGCTCCCTCTGAACAACTCTCCTCCCTACTATTAATTCACCCATGTGTATTAGTTATCTACTGCTGAGTAACACAGTACCACAAACTCGGCAGTTTAAAATAACACACGTCTGTTATCTTCACAGTTTCCATGGGTCAGGCATGCAAGCACAGCCTAGCTGGGTCTTCCACTCAGGGTCTCAGTAGGTTGAAATCAAGGAGTCAGCCGGGACTGTGATCTTCTCTGGGGATGGGGTCCTTTTCCAAGTTCACTGGTTGCTAGCAGAATTTAGTTCCTTGTGGTTGTAGGACTAAAGTCCCGTTTCCTTACTGGCCATCACCAGGGACCACCCTTGAGTTTTATAGACCACTTGAGGTCCTTGCCACATGGCCCTCTCTGCAAGGCAGTTTCTTCTTCAAGGCCAGGAGGAGAACCTCTCTCACTTCAAAGCTCTCTGGCTTTTAAGTGCTCACCTTGACTAGATCAGGCCCACCTAGGAGAATCTCCTTTTTTATTAACTCCAAGTCTACTGATTAGGGGTCTTAGTTATATCTACAAAACTCCTTTTGCCATAGAATGTAACCTAATCAAGGGAGTGATAGCTCGTCATGTTCATAGGTCCTGCTCACATTCAAATAGAGTGGATTCTACAAGGCATGTATACTGGGAGTTGGGAATCTTAGGAGCTGCCTTAGAATTCCGCTTAAAACCATAGATATTCTGTCCATCTTCTAGCATTTTCTAAAACCCTTTAGCCAATCAAACCTCTCAAAAACACACATTGTTCAGAAGGCCAGCCTCCTCTCAGCAGCACTATGTACCTGAAGCCACGGGTATGGTGGCAGCCTCTCCCACTGGCGATACAGGCTTCTTGGAATAAGGCTGTAGGCCTTAATCTGGCCAGTCTGAAAACATCTATGTTGAAAATGTAGGGGCATATGCTAACTTTTTCATAGTATTTACATATTCTTTTGATTTTACTGAAAAAGCAGCCCAATACCATCCTGTATGGAAATCACTGTGCAAGCACTTCTAACTTATCATTTTTATCTTAAATTAATTTTATACAATGAAATGGCTTCATCTGTTTTCTTATAAAAGATTTTTTAACAAATATTATGTTTTTTAAAGCAGGTCCTAATATTAATTGATTATCATTTGTGTCAGAACTTGTTGAATTAAAAGACCTACCTGCAGGAAACTTGTTAAATGTAAGAACTTTATGGAAAAAGAAATAGTTTCGCATGACTCATGGATAGATACACATAGCATGTTGTCTGAAGAAAATAATACAAAAGTGGTAGCTAGGATTTCATTAGGAAAGGACATCAGAAGACAGTTTTGAGGTTTTACAAGGTCATGACTGGGTGAGCACAGTCAAAGAGTAACGATTAAAAGATCAATACCCATCTGGAAGATAGGTCATGGGGACAGGCTTCAGGCCTCTGCCCTTGACTTTATTCACACCTTATGAAGGTGAAGATGTAGGCGGTACACCAAGGACAATTCCAAATGCCATGGGCCAAAAGAAAAACAGGTTGCATGACAATTTCAGGATCCAAAAGAGCTGACTGAAGGGATGGGCCAAGTTTAACAGATTTCGTGTGCGTATATGCTCAGTCGTGTCCAACTCTTCATGACCCCATGAACTGTGACCCACCAGACTCCTCTGTCCATGGGATTTTCCAGGCAAGAATACTGGAGTGGGTTGCCATTTCCTCCTCCAGGGAATCTTCCCCACCCAGGGATTAAGCCCGCATCTCCTGCATTGGCAGGCAGATTCTTTATCATTGGGCCACCAGGGAAACCCATAATAGACTTACTGGAGCTTAATGGTATTAGGAGCTGCATCATTCAAACACCTGAGAGTTGGACTGAACAAAAGCACATGTGAAAAACATCCTGGTTTTGAAGATGATGGCAATGACGTGTGGGATATACAATATTTAATGAGCTAAGCGGCAGGGGCAGACACTGCACTGAGCACTTCAAAATCATTGTCTCATTACCCCTTCCAGCTGTCCTCATGATAACAGTTAAAAATAAAAAATCCTGACACTTAGACCAAGCAATTTATCCAGCTTACCCAAGGTAAGAGCGTGAACTGATGCTGTCCCAGTACTGACTCCCAAACCTCTATTAATGATAAGATATGTTGTCCATGTTGACAGGACATAGGAAAGAGACACAACTATCCAAATGTAAGTTGCTTTTTTTCAAAAAGATTGTGAAAGATAACTTATGTATACTGTTCTGAACTGACTCCAACATCAATTCTGGATATAATCTTGCAGAGGTACATAGGCCAGCTAGAGCAAACCTAAGAGAGAAGAGGAGGGGGTGGAACCCAAGATTATGGCATGGAAGAATAGCTGAAGGGAATGTCCAGTGTTTCTGCTGGAAGCAGGATCACATTCACCGTCAATCCAGGACCCAACATGGTGAATGGCAGCATTCAGCTGTGAGTAAATGTCTTCAGCTATGGGGATGA